AGCAGCTTGGGGTTGTTTGGAGCATGCTTCCGGTGCTGCCTGCCTGCCTGGGCAGTGCGGTGGTGCCGGGATCTCCTTGGGGAGCCGGGGCTGTGTCCTGCTCCCGCCACACCTGAGTGGTGTTCTGGCACCGAGATCCACGTGTTGTCCCTCTGGGAGGGCAAAAGACAGCCGTGGGAGCGCTGGCTGAGCCGGGCTGGCTGGGGCACGGCGGCGCTGCTCCGAGCAGCGCTGTCATGGAAACAGCAGTGATTCATTTCGCTGCGAGAAAGGCAGTAAACACACTTTGATTAAACTCTGGAGAAGGTGCAGAAAGAGCCTACAAAGCCGATGGGGGAACAGCACAAAGTTGTTTCGTTATTGCTCTCCTTCCCTTCCCCACTGGGGATGGTGCATCTGGGGGATGGGAAGAGGAAACCTTGGGCAGAACTGGCTGCTGCAGCAGCAGCCCGAACCTGTCCTGATTCTGGCACCTGGTGGCTGGAGCTCAGGCGCAGCATTCATCATCATTACTGCTATTACCGTGACTTTGGGGCAGGCTGAGGAGCAGTGAGGAGCTGGTTGTGCAGCCACAGGCTGAAGCATGGCTTGGGATTCACACCGTCATGGAACATCTCAGCATGCCAGAGCAGCCTGAGCCTCCCAGAGAGGAGGTCACCTGCCAACCCAGGGCAGATCACTCTGCCCAGTACAAACCGGTGTCACCAGGAAATTCATAGAACTTCCCCTCACACTGGGCACTGGTGAGGCCACACCTTGAACCCGGTGCTCAGCTCGGGACCCCTCACTGCAAGAGAGACATTGAGGTGCTGGAGTGGGGCCAGAGCAGGGCAATGGAGCTGGAGCAGGGCCTGGAGCACAGGGGTGATGGGGAACGGCTGAGGGACCTGGGGGGTTCAGAAGGCTCAGGGGGGACCTGATGGCTCCCTACAAGTGCCTGAGAGGAGGATGGAGCCAGGAGGGGCTGGGCTCTGCTCCCAAGGAACAAGGGATGGGACAAGAGGAAACGGCCTCAAGCTGCCCCAGGGCAAGTTTAGATGGAGCTGAGGAACAATTCCTGCCCCAGAGGGTGCTCAGGCATTGGAACAGGCTGCCCAGGGCAGGGCTGCAGGCACCGTCCCTGCAAGTGTTCACACCCCGTGGAGATGAGGCCTCAGTGCTGTGGGTCAGTGGTGGCCTTGGCAGTGCTGGTGGAACTGATGAGCTCTTTTTTACCCTGGTTGATTCTGTGACTGTAATTCAGTGCCTCCAGCCCCATTAGGAAGTTGTTGTCTTTCATTCACCTCCCTCAGAACAGCAGCGGGTTTCCCCAAGTCTTTGCTGTTGGACACATGCTGCTCCCACCAGGAGAGGAGTAACCAGCGAGTCACACATTGGGGTGCTGGTCCCTTGCTTGCCCCTTCCAGCAAAGGACAGTTTAAACAGCAATAAGAGGATGCCTGGAGGGCTCCAGCCCTGGGCCGGGCTCTGCTGGCAGTGCAGGCTGTCGGTGTACTTTGCCCACATCCCGCCCTTGTGTACCTGGGGGCCTTGGTTTTGTGTCCCCTGTAGCCCCTAGATGTGTTCCTGGAGCGTTTGCTGTCCTTGTGACCAAGTGCTGATCTGCTGGACTTTCTCATGCAAAGAAGTGCACCCGTAGCACCCTTCAGCATCAAATTGCCTCCATCACTTCCTCTTGCTTCATGATCTGCAGTACAGATTTGCTGCAGCCCACATCCCATGCAGTGTGGGTACCTTTGCTGTCCTTTCTGCCATCTGGCTCTGGCACAGTCTCCTCCCTTGCTGTCTCCACCTTGTTGTGTAGCGCAGCTGATGACGTGGTTGTATCTCTGAGTATATCTAACTGCTGTCCAGAAAGACCCAGGCTGCATGGCAGAGCTTCCAGACTCACTGGTCCTAAGTCTGTGCTTAGATGAGGGCTTTGGAAAAGCTCCAGGTGTCTGGGGAGACAAGTCCCATGTTGCTTATGAGCAGTAGCTTCCCTCTGAAGCTCGCTCACCCGGTGTTCCCGGTGAAAGCCAGGCTTTCCCGGGTGTCTGCTGTCATTTGTACCTCTCTGAGCTCTGTGCAGAAACATTTGATGTTGGTCCAGGGCTGGCTGCTGCTCCAGCCTCTCCCAGGGCAGGGGAGGAAGGTCCAGGCAGATTTTTCTAGCTCTGGAGTTTTTCTGTCTGAATACTTCCTGCTTAACTGATGTGGTGGGGTCCAGCCTTGGCCTTTCTGCAGCTGCTGCACTGCCCGTTGGTGCAGCACCACTGACTGGGTGTTGCTGGTCCCCAGCTCAGGTGTAATGGGCTCACACTGACTCTCTTCTGGCAGGAGGGCTCTGAGCTCTGTTTGGTTGACTGATGCTGTGAGCACAAGGCCTTTCTCAGGTGGTGACCCCATGATCCCCTGGTTTCACCGATGGTGCTGATCCCTGGAAGCACCGTGGATGCACTCACTCAACTAGTATGTGCCCTGCCCTTTGGTTTGGAAAGTGCCCAGGCAGTGACTTAAGTGCTTTTGTTACTGGGCAGCGTCTGGCACTTGGACTTAAAGTAATTCTGTACTTTTTTCCAAGAGCAGCTTTAGGTGACTGACTTGGCTTGGTTTGAGAGCAGCACTTGGAGCCTGGGAGAAGTTTCCTTCTGTTTCCAGTGGCTATTTACAATTTCTAATAATGTTTAAATCTGCCAGTACCATGACATGCATCCATTTAATATTTGCTGCTCTGATCATTTAAAGTGGTTTTCTATGAGAAGTGATACAGTATGAAATTAAATGTCTCCTGGAGATCCATCCTATGTCTGGATGACACATGAGCTCACATCAGCTGTCCTTGGCAACCAGACCCATTCAGCATTGCTTGATGTAGCCAGCCTGACCGTGGCTTCCTCTCCAGTGTGTTGCATTGATAGAACAGGCTGTACATCAGCATGTTTTACCCCAGGGACTGCATCACATCCATGGCCCACACTTTGCTTCTTTCCATTCAACATCCCTCCTTGACTGTGGCCATTGCGTGACAAGGCTGAGAGAGCTGGGCTGGGGCAGCCGGGAGAAGAGAAGGCTCCTGAAGGGGAGACCTGAGAGCAGCTCCAGTGCCTGAAGGGGCTGCAGGAAAGCTGGAGAGGGGCTTGGGACAAGGGCCTGTAGGGACAGGCCAAGGGGAATGGCTTTAACCTGCCCGAGGGGAGACTGAGCTGAGCTCTTAGGCAGAAGCTCTTCCCTGTGAGGGTGCTGAGGCGCTGGCACAGGGTGCCCAGAGAAGCTGTGGCTGCCCCATCCCTGGCAGTGTTCAAGGCCAGGTTGGACACAGGGGCTTGGAGCAAGCTGCTCCAGTGGAAGGGGTCCCTGCACATGGCAGGGGTTGGAGCTGGAGGAGCTTTAAGGTCCCTTCCACCCAAACCATTCCATGATTCCATGATTTGGGCCTGTTGTCCCAGTGGGCAGGCTGGACACGGGCACTGGCAGCACCGCGCCAGGCAGTGGGGCTGAGCCGCAGCAGTGCAGCCACTGCGGCAGAAACTCCCCCACCACGTGGTTGAAACTCATCCGAGACCAAGCTCATCGCGTTGCCATGGCAATGGGGAGGTTTACGGGAGCCTGGAATTCTTGTACTTTGAACCTAAACTATTGCGAGTGCTCCGCACAGCAGGGCTGGGACGCGCCTTCAGGGGGTGCAGCCAAGGCTGACACCGGTTGAGGCCTCCTCCAGTGTGGGGCAGCGTCCTGGTCAGAGCCCTGGCTGCTCCCGTCCTCTGCAGCCCTTCGGTGGTGGCCACGTGTTCAGGGCTCCTGTGCCTTTGTGCAGATTGCTGTGGGATTACGTGGCCTTGGGAGGGTGAAGCTGGGGAGTCCTGAATGTGGATGGGCTGAGGTCCCCTTTAGCAGGACCATGCCACATCTGAACGTGCCTTTGCGCAGCACAGGAGACCTCTGCGTGCTCTACCTGTCCCCTTGCTTTTGCCACTACATTTGCACCAGAAATGGGTGAATGTTGTTGACTCAAGCTCCTGCTGGTCACTGCCACCCTTCAGCAAACTGAAGCATCTTAAGCTTCCGGAAGGAAATGTGTTCATTAAAATCTAGGAGCATACATTCTTCCTGACCTGAGGTCTGCGGTGCTGCAGCTCCGCAGCCCTTCACCCTTCCAACCACCCTGCACTTCCTGTGTCCGCTCCTTCTCCCTCTGCAGAGCTCCAGCCTGAGGCAGGAGTTTGCATCCTCAGGTGCCTTCGTGAGGTCTGTTTTCTTCCACACGCTTCCAAGGGCTGGGTGGGTGTCAGGCAGGGCTGGGAGTCGCTGGTGGTTTATTTGGGGCACTGTATGTGCTAGGCTTGCTCCTGGCACATGCCTGGAGCTACAGATTCTTTTCCTCCCTGTGAGGGTGCTGAGGCGCTGGCACAGGGTGCCCAGAGAAGCTGTGGCTGCCCCATCCGTGGCAGTGTTCAAGGCCAGGTTGGACACAGGGGCTTGGAGCAAGCTGCTCCAGTGGAAGGGGTCCCTGCCCGTGGCAGGGATTGGAGCTGGATGGGATTTAAGGTCCCTTCCAACACAAACCAGGCTGGGATTCTTTGATCCTATGATTTAGGCCTTTTGTCAGTCAGAGGAAGCGGTGGTTGGGGTGACTGCTGGTGTCAATGTCCTGTGCATGTGTCTCCACCTCCGAGCTGGGCTCACAGGGGTCCCACTGGTGGCCCTGTACCCTCTCTGATTGCTGTTGCTGCCTCCCCCTCTAGCAACGCTCCTTGATGCTGTCTGAAATGCCACCTCCAACCCCTCCCGTGTGCCACGCTGGGCTCGCCTCTCCCGTGTTCTCCTGGGGCAGTTTCTTTGCGGTGCTGCAGGGAGAGGGGCTGGAAGCAGGCGGAGCTGCATCCTCCTGGCGCTTCCTGCCCTCCCACCCGGCTCCACGTGCTCTCCCAGCGCTCCTGCCTTGCCGCCATCTTCCCCCCTGACCATGGTGGCTCTGTGCTGCGCTTTGGTGTCTAACGGCCCTTTCCGCTCTCTTGCAGTGCCTTTCAGAGAGACGCCCAGCTACACGAAGCGGCGGCGGCTGCTGGGCGCGGGCGGCCTGGCCTCCCCACGCGTGCTGCAGCGCTCAGCCAGCGACAACAACCTGAAGGCCGAGAGCCGGGCGTCCTACTCGCCGGTGCCGTCGCTGCGCAGCCTCCCGCCGCAGCTGCTGGCGCAGATGCAGGAGGCAGCGGCGGCGGCGGCGGACGGCAGCGTGGGCAGCTCCGGCAGCGCCCGCAGCGCGCACAGCCGCTCCCCGTCCCTGCAGCGCGTGCAGGAGGAGAGGGAGGCCGACGTGCCCTCGCTCCGCAGGAGCAGCCGCGGCAAGGCCAGGTGAGGGGTCGGGGGGAGGCAGCTCCGTGCCATGGCCCGTGTGTGCTGTGGGCCCCACCAGAGACACCGTGGGCCAGCGGGCGAGGAGCGGGGAGGCTGGCGGAGCCCACGGAAGCCCCACGTGCCCTGTCTGTGTTGCTCTGGCTCAAGCACCGAGGGGTTCGTTCCTTGATTTCCTCAGCCCTCGCTCTCATCTCGTGTCTCAGAGAAGCGGTGAGTGCATCAACGCCGCGTTGTGCCGGTTGTTGCTATGACAATGATGCATCTTGAAAACCAGCACTTCGAGGTGGCACATTGTGGATGAGCGAACACCTAACGCTGGTGTCCCGCCCGGCCGGTGATAGCGGTGGTTGCAGTTAGCAGTGTTCTGCCAATGGGCCATGGTGGTGGCCTTGCTCTCCTGGACCCACCAGGCCCGGAGTGGCAGATGGGTGCCCTCGCCTGACCCCCTGAGAAGTGCAGGAGCCTTCCCTGTGTGTTCTGTGGTTATGATGGACCACGGGTATTGGGAGCGATGCAGAACTTGTGTCCTCCTGCTGCTTCCCATCCCTTGCTGTCCACGTGCAGCGCGAGTGTCAGCTGTGACACTGCTCGCCACTGCTGGCACTTGCCTGCAGCTGGGAGCCAGGTCTGGGTGCCCACTTGATACAGGGGGATGGCTGCCGCTGCCCTCAGACAGCTGAGGTCTGGGTGCTTGAGCTCAGAACCCCCCGTGTGCTGGGTGTGCTGGAAGGCGTCCCTGCCTGTGGTGGGGTTTGGAACTGTGTGAGTGTAAGGTCCTTTCCAAGCCAGGCCAGTCCATGGCTCTTTGAGGTGCTGCGGAGAGTCTTTGGGGCCGAGGGTCCCTTCGGTGACAACTGGGCTCAGGCTTTGCTGTTAGTGGAGAGGACAGACTGACCACAGTCGTGGCTGATGTGAAGTGATATCTGCTCAGAGAGGACTAATGAGAACCTCTGGTACCGTGAGGCCAGAGCAGGAGTTCAGAGCATGGGCACCAGCTCTGCCTTGTAGCTGTGTTCACTAATGTCCAAATGGATTTGAGCGTTGAAGAGTCAGTCTGCAGATGGCAGCTATTTACATTAGCTCCAGAGCAGGAACAGCTCAGAGGCCCTTTGAGCCAATCTAAATAATTTTGGGGAAAAGAAACATGTCAGTGAATAAAAAATAATGAAGATAAATGTAAAATAGCTACTGGAGGAGAAAAAAGTGACCCAGTGAAGTACCTGAGAAGATTCTTAATGATAGTTTAACTCAGGAGGAGTTGCAGGATGACTCTAAAGAGCTCAGCGGAGGCCTCTGCTCAGTGGCAGCTTGAGCATAGTATTCAGCACTCTTGGATGACCAAAGTGTGATGGATGATGGATGATCATACAGAAAACAGTCTAATGCCTCAGTCAGAATCAGTGATGACACCTCTGGGTGCTGCAGCCCAGCCTGGGCACTGCCTGTCAGCAGGAGCAGTAGGAGCTGAAGGGTTCAGAGATGCCGTGGACGTGGTCAGGAATGAGAGAACAGGAATGTGTGGTCTGAAGAGATGTTCACAGGAGCGGGATCATTACCTTAGGAACAAGAGGAATATAGGAAGTATGTTAAAAACATTGAAAATGCCACATTCTTGGCTGAGGGAAAGGGGGAACCTCTGCCTGTGTCAAGGCACGAGGAGGGAGGAACTTGCAATAAGAGGAATAGGAAGCACACTCAAACCAGTACAAACCAGTGGGTTTTCCACACCCTGCAGTGAGCTCAGAATTCAGTGCCTTGGAACCTGCTGAAGCTACAGCACGGTGCATTAGGAGGCTGGTGTGGCTGAAAAGAATACTGTGGGCTTCTGTAATCAGAGGTTTGGGAAGTGTTCCCAGAAGTACCTGGAGCAGCTGATGGCCAGGCAGGAGCAGGGCAGCGGGAAGGAAGGGTTGAGCCATTCCCAGCCAGGCAGTTCCCAGGAAGGGGAAACTAGGATCATGACTGGGCTGGAGACACAGGGGGGTTGGGGTCCGCCATGAGCAGCAGCATGAGGGGGATGTACAAGTGGGTTTGTAGTGCTGCAGCAAGATACAGTGGTCAGCAGCAGGGTGCAGTGGTCAGAGTTGGGTGCAGTGGTCAGCAGCAATGGGTGCAGTGGTCAGCAGAGGATGCAGTGGTCAGCAGAGGGTGCAGTGGTCAGTAGTGGATTCAGTGGTCAGCAGCAGGGTGCAGTGGTCAGCAATGGGTGCAGTGGTCAGCAGTGGATGCAGTGGTCAGCAATGGGGGCAGTGGTCAGCAGTGGGTGCAGTGGTCAGCAGCGGGGGCAGTGGTCAGCAATGGGGGCAGTGGTCAGCAGTGGGTGCAGTGGTCAGCAGCAAGGGGCAGTGGTCAGCAGAGGATGCAGTGGTCAGCAGAGGGTGCAGTGGTCAGTAGTGGATTCAGTGGTCAGCAGCAGGGTGCAGTGGTCAGCAATGGGTGCAGTGGTCAGCAGTGGATGCAGTGGTCAGCAATGGGGGCAGTGGTCAGCAGTGGGTGCAGTGGTCAGCAGCGGGGGCAGTGGTCAGCAATGGGGGCAGTGGTCAGCAGTGGGTGCAGTGGTCAGCAGCGGGGGCAGTGGTCAGCAATGGGGGCAGTGGCCAGCAGTGGGTGCAGTGGTCAGCAGCAAGGGGCAGTGGTCAGCAATGGGGGCAGTGGTCAGCAGTGGGTGCAGTGGTCAGCAGTGGGTGCAGTGGTCAGCAGTGGGTGCAGTGGTCAGCAGTGGGGGCAGTGGTCAGCAGTGGGTGCAGTGGTCAGCAGTGGGTGCAGTGGTCAGCAGTGGGGGCAGTGGTCAGCAGTGGGGGCAGTGGTCAGCAGTGGGGGCAGGGGTCAGCAATGGGGGCAGGGGTCAGCAGTGGGGGCAGTGGTCAGCAATGGGGGCAGGGGTCAGCAATGGGTGCAGTGGTCAGCAGGGGGCAGTGGTCAGCAGTGGGTGCAGTGGTCAGCAGTGGGGGCAGGGGTCAGCAGTGGGTGCAGTGGTCAGCAATGGGGGCAGAGGTCAGCAGTGGGGGCAGTGGTCAGCAGTGGGGGCAGTGGTCAGCAGTGGGGGCAGAGGTCAGCAATGGGGGCAGGGGTCAGCAATGGGGGCAGAGGTCAGCAATGGGGGCAGGGGTCAGCAATGGGTGCAGTGGTCAGCAGTGGGGGCAGTGGTCAGCAATGGGGGCAGGGGTCAGCAATGGGTGCAGTGGTCAGCAGTGGGGGCAGTGGTCAGCAATGGGGGCAGGGGTCAGCAATGGGTGCAGTGGTCAGCAATGGGGGCAGAGGTCAGCAGTGGGGGCAGTGGTCAGCAGTGGGGGCAGAGACAGTCAGCAATGGGGGCAGAGGTCAGCAATGGGGGCAGGGGTCAGCAATGGGTGCAGTGGTCAGCAGTGGGGGCAGTGGTCAGCAATGGGGGCAGGGGTCAGCAATGGGTGCAGTGGTCAGCAGTGGGGGCAGTGGTCAGCAGCAGGGGGCAGTGGTCAGCAATGGGGGCAGTGGCCAGCAGTGGGTGCAGTGGTCAGCAGCAAGGGGCAGTGGTCAGCAATGGGGGCAGAGGTCAGCAATGGGGGCAGTGGTCAGCAGTGGGGGCAGAGGTCAGCAATGGGGGCAGGGGTCAGCAATGGGGGCAGAGGTCAGCAATGGGGGCAGGGGTCAGCAATGGGTGCAGTGGTCAGCAGTGGGGGCAGTGGTCAGCAATGGGGGCAGGGGTCAGCAATGGGTGCAGTGGTCAGCAGTGGGGGCAGTGGTCAGCAATGGGGGCAGTGGTCAGCAATGGGGGCAGTGGTCAGCAGTGGGTGCAGTGGTCAGCAGCAGGGGGCAGAGGTCAGCAGTGGGGGCAGTGGTCAGCAATGGGGGCAGTGGTCAGCAATGGGGGCAGTGGTCAGCAGTGGGTGCAGTGGTCAGCAGTGGGGGCAGTGGTCAGCAGTGGGTGCAGTGGTCAGCAATGGGGGCAGAGGTCAGCAGTGGATGCAGTGGTCAGCAATGGGGGCAGTGGTCAGCAGTGGGTGCAGTGGTCAGCAGCAGGGGGCAGAGGTCAGCAGTGGGGGCAGTGGTCAGCAATGGGGGCAGTGGTCAGCAGTGGGGGCAGTGGTCAGCAGTGGGGGCAGTGGTCAGCAGTGGGTTAGAACTGGATGAGCTTTAAGGTCCCCTTCAACCCAACCCACGCTGTGACTCTGACACTCTAAGTGACACATCACCCGCTCACAGCGCTGCTGTTCAGCACGATGCTGTGCGCTCACCAGTGCTCAGAGCAGCTCATTAACAGCAGCATTTTGTGTAACTCGGTGTTTCTTTCACTCCTGTTTGGCCTTTTCACCCTCCTGGTCTGTTCCCAGAGTGGTTGTGTTGGTTTGACAGAGCTGCTGTGTCGGGCGATGCGGTGATCCCTATCACTGAGGGCTCCCATCCCAGGGATGTTTCATTTTCCAACAAGAAAGCCTTTGCTGTGTGCTAAGTGGCAAGTCATCGCATCCATAAACATGTGGAGTTCTCACATGTCTTGCTCCAGAAGTTATGCAGAAAAATTCCTTCTGGATCAGATTTTTATTAGAATATCAGGTAAATGTAGTGTCTGCAAATGTTACCCCAAAACTCTTCTCTGTGGGAAAAGTCCCCAGCAAAACTCTGATTGTTTTGCAGATGTATTCCAGATGGCAAAGGGAATGTAAATGAGCACAAGCTCAGCGCTGGCATCTCGGCTTGTCCAGCAGTGATGCGCAGCAGCCCCTCGCACTGTGTCCTACAGCCTCAGTGCTGGCTCTCAGCCCTGCTGGCTGCAGGAGATGTTCCTCATCTGTGTTTCCCCCTTGACTTCAGCCACACCAATAGTTCTGGTGGCCGAGTCCTCCCATGGGCTTCTCTTGTGGGAGCACAGGTCTGACCAAGCAGCAGGGCTGGGGGTGCAAGCCCAGGGTGGACTCCAGGCTCCTGGGAGCCCTGTCTGTCTCAGCTGGGGGGCTCTTGACCATGGTGCATCCCTGCAGCAAGGGATGGACCATGGTCGGTCCATAGCTGATGTGTGC